TGTCATCTTGTATTGTCCACACACTCAGTATATGTACCAAGAGTAACCGTACTGTCTCTCAGTCATTTAACATTGAAACTCCAAGTGAATCTGTCATCTTGTATTGTCCATACACTCAGTATATGTACCAAGAGTAACCGTACCTTCTCTCAATCATTTAACATTGAAACTCCAAGTGAATCTGTCATCTTGTATTGTTCACACACTCAGTATATGTACCAAGAGTAACCGTACCTTCTCTCAATCATTCACATTGAAACTCCAAGTGAATCTGTCATCTTGTATTGTTCATACATTCAAACAAGAAATGAGACTGTAATTGCTTTGTTCGACAAAGCTCATGTTATATTGGCTAAATAAAATACAAGCTTTTTAAAGTCACAGTGAGTCAACTTTCGTTTAAGCCCAGTGTAAAAAAAAGCGTGTATTCTTGAATTACCCCATAAATTGCTTGAGAATAAAATAAAATGGGATTAGCAAATAAAGGAACATATGCTTGAGTAAATAAAAGTCAACAAATGGTTATTCAGTAATTTTCTTTTTTGTGTAGCAGAGTTCTATTTGAAATCGGATCAAAGTTCTAAAAGTTAGCGACCTGGCATGGACAAGTGGTTAGGGTCCTCGAATCCCACCAAACATGCTCGTCCTTTTATCCGTGTGGGCGTTATAATGTGACGGTCAATCCCACTATTCGTTGGTAAAAGAGTAACCCAAGAGTTGGCGGTGGGTGGCGATGAATAAATAGTCTTCCCTCTAGTCTTTCACTGCTAATTAGGGACGGCTAGCGCAGATAGCCTTCGTGTAGTTTTGCGAGAAATTCATAACAAACTAAAAGTTGCAAATGACTCCACCTGTCATTATAAATACACAAGAAAACTCAACCATTAATCATTGCGAGACTTACAATAACGGCTTGGACTTCGTTTTCTCGATTCTGAGGATACAGCTCACGACACATATCTGTTGGTGTAATATTCTGTTCTGGTGCTGACAGAAGAGTGTCATTTCTTAACTTATCCACACGTAAGCACTTTGACCTTCCTAAACTAAAAGAAGCACGTGTATGAGAAAGAGGAAACCAAAAAGATACAATACATTCGTACATGTATCTTTAATATTTAGGTAGAATGCTAGAGCTGTAATAACGCTTTATTTTGTTTAGTATAACTTTCCGGAATATTAAATTTAGTTCCCATAGGGCATGTAGTTTTTATGATTGTATCCCCTGGCGGGACAGCGTTAAATTTACGGACTTACAATGCTAAAATAGGGGTTCGATTCCCCTCAGTGGACACAGCAGATAGCCCAATGTGATTTTGTTCTAAAACAAACAAAATGTATGTATATTTTGGTTAGTTTTGTTTATTATTAAGCACGAAGTTAAACAATGAGCTATGTGTTCTGGGCCAACCGCAGAGATTCAAATTTTAGCGTGAGAAGTCCTCAAGGTTATCGCTGAAATACTGGGGTAGTTTTCATTTTAAATAAAGAGGTATATTTTAATCACACTGCATTTAAATGTTGTTTAGGTTGATTTTTTCCATTTTATGAAAATTCTAATAGTTATTTGATTATGATCATATAGTTTTTTTATTTTTAAACAGTGAAATAACTAATTAAGTTGAAAACATTAAAATTGCACATTAGGTCACAATTAAGACGAAAATTTCGGATAAATTTAATTTCATTTTATTTTCTTATACGGTTTGGAAAGTGGGATAGAATGTAACTAAAATATTTGAACGGACGACAGTAAATAATCTAATAATTAATTAATTAATCAAATTTCCCTAAATATTAGCAAAAATATTATTTTATTGGATCTAAAAACAACAACTCTCAAACAATCATTGATTTAGCAAAGGCACAAAATTCCTAGACAATAAGTAGAACAACAGTTGGCTATAAACTAAGTTCTTATCTTCTGAAGCAGCAACAATCAGCTGGTGAAAAAACCTAACAGAATATTGCAATTAAAACGATAAACCTGTTTATATACATTCATGTATAAACTCTCACACGTCAATGTGTGTGTGTGTGTGTGTGTATGAAGCCAACAAGCATTCTTATTAATATGATTAAGTGCTTTAATTTTCAGTGTTAATTATTTGGTGAAACAAGTTTCTGGTTTTTTTCTTCTTCTTAAACTCTATTGTTTTTTTACCTGAAGAAGTGTCGAAGTTGTTTAATGCTACATGTGGACCACTTATAATCGTTATATCCACCAAATACAGGCGCCATCAGATATCCATCACTCGCTGAGCAGGATGATGCTCCAGGACCTCCAAGGAAATCCAACATATCTTCACCATCATGAACAACACCGAGTCTATAAGAAAGGAAGTGCAGAAAACACAAGTTAGCATACTAAATTATAACATACTACAGACAAGCGTCTGCAGACACAAATAACCACATATGTTTAGTTTTCAATTATTGGCATCCAAGCTTTCTGACACTTTTTGAAACCTAATTTAATGTAGTCATTATAAAATTAAGTTTTTCTTGCCAAGCCTAATACTGTTTTGAGATATATAAGAATTGTTTCCTTTGTTCTGTGGTATTTCGGACTCAATATAAAATCAGAACACATCCAAAGATTCTGGACTTTAATCAATGTTATAAAAAACATTTATTTACAAAAATCATAAGTTATTATTCAATTTATAAAAGTGTGTGGCAAAGTCACAGAATGTATTTAAATTGTGGATCTTTCCAGAAATTAAGTAAAAGATACATATAAATACAAGTAATTCAGTTTTGTCTGAACAGCATAGTTATAGCCAGATAGAAATAAAGTGAGACAGAGAAAAATATTAATTAATAGAAATGAAAAGTCTATAAGATTTAGCAAACTGCTATTGATTTATTAGAAGGCGTTTTTGATAAAAACCCTATAAACCGGGCGCTTTCGAAAGGGAAACTGGGAATCAGTTTGCCCCTGAAGAAGAAAGGTCCAGCTTTTGAAAGCGCTCGGGTTATAGGATTTTTATGATTTTGTATCGAGACTTCTTGAACCTACGTGTTTTTCTGACATGAGGCTCTTAGGAATACTAGTGCCTCATATCAAGGACTACAGTAAGAATACTGAACCATACATTCAAAGTCATAAGTTAAAATCCAATACTTCAGGTCAACATATCAGTTTAAGATCATTGCATGCCAGGTATGGTATAATGTGCTAAGCTGCAGACAGACTAGAAGGTCCAAGATTCGAGCCGTGACAGTCAATTGTAATATCAGTTTTTAAACTTCTGCTTGCCCTCCATCTGAGTCAGCATTTCTAAATTAAAGGTGACTGTGCTGAAACCTTAGTATTCTCTGACTTGGCTGTCTGTGTGAAGCGTAATATTCCTTTCAGCTTGTAATTACCGACATAGGGCCATTTTGAACCTTTTGTTGTTGTTCTACTATTGTAAGTCGAAAGTTTGAAAAAGGAAAAACAATAGCACTTGCACCTGTAGTAGCAATCTTATTTCTGGTACACACTTTTAGATACATTATACAATTGTATAAAACTGTAAAAAACACCAGTTGTTTTACTCACAAGTGTCCTATTTCGTGAGCAACAATTTCAACTCCACTGTACGTCCCAGGTTCATCTTCGGCGACCCCAATTTTCATATTTTGCGTACAAGCACCGCCAATAAAAGAAACTCCTAGATGTATTAAAATAATTTATTAAAAGACTATGCGTTGCTATACACAAATATTACACACAATTCAAAACTATTGATAATTACTAAAGCTAGATTAATATTAATGTTAGACATGAAAACCTAGAACACAGACATGGGGCAGTGGATTCATTCTCACGGTTTTGATTCAAAAGAAATAATTTTTCAATCAATGAATTATTCATTTGACTCTTTGTAGGTCCCCTATCTTTATGTTAACCTGTTGATCAATCTTACTCCCCCTGAGTTTATTCCCCGTCACACCAAACATGCTCGCCCTTTCAGCCGTGGGAGCATTATAATGTGACGGTCAATCCCATTATTCGTTGGTAAATGAGTAGCCCAAGAGTTGGCAGTGGGTGGTGATGACTAGCTGCCTTCCCTCTAGTCTTACACTGCTAAATTAGGGACGGCTAGCGCAGATAGCCCTCGAGTAGCTTTGCGTGAATTTCGCGCAAAGCTACTCGATACCTATCTGCGCTAGCCGTCCCTAATTTTGAAGTGGTAGACTAGATGGATAGCAGTTAGTCAACACGGTGTACCGCCAACTCGTAGGGAACTCTAATTGAATAGAAGGATTTAACTATATCTCTTATAACGTATCTACAGCCCCAAAGTACGGACGCGAATTTTTGTTTTTGGCGGTAACATGGTTCAAACCATGAATCTACAGTCCGGTACGCTAACCACTGGCCTGCTCTCGCCCCCGCTGTTCTTTCCAAAATCCTTCTTTCCAGTTACCTGATGAGCTTTTGTTTGAAATTCAGTTGTATAATTCTCAATTCATTTGTATTTTTGTATGTTCTTTCGTAAAATATAACACTAACTATTCATCTTCACATCTGTCCGACTTTACTAAATGGTTAACATTGTCGTCGAATGGACAAATTAGTTTATGTATTTTACATTCTTCCATAATATATTTGATATTTTATTTATCTTCAGTCACTTTTTCGTCTGCTGTCTTTCGAGTAACTGTGCTTTCATATACGTGTACAATGCTGCAGTGCGAGTTAAAAAAAGATAAAAATTTCGTATTAAAATTGAATTCATTTTCTATTTCAGCCATTGTTGCCCTTTGTTGTATAATGCAGCTTATATATATATTTTAATGTTCCATCTACAATATTGAAATAGTTCAAATTAGTATAAGTTACTGCTTAGTTAATCAGAATTGTTCTACTTACTGTTGTAAGGGACTTAGTTTCTAATCCATTCATGGATATATATATATCGTAGTCTAGTTCATTCTAGCTCAGTGTGACTAGTTCGTTTTTTTACGAAACAACTGAAAATGATGATACTTTTCGTGACTGATCCCGGTATTTTGAGAGTTTACTCCACACAAGGTTTGAGTTTAGAAAACTTTCTCTTTTTTAAAGTTATCCATC